TTTGGGAGCTGTTCCGAAAATTAGGCCAGATCCCAAAAGAATAGGAAAATCAGTGCCTTAATGACCCTCAATGATCATATAATGATTTCTCGCACATTTCTCTTTCTCTCTTGAAGGGAAGCTCCAAGTCATTTTAAGAATATCTTTTTGCATTTTTTTTTCTCTGACCAGTTTGTTTAATGGAATGGTCTACATACTGTACAGACTAGAAGCCAGCAAGCCAGAACATACACAGAGATCAAACCTGTCTAACAGCAGGTAGATTAATTATGTAACAAATCCCACAAGTTGTCCATCGGCAGTTCCACACGGATCAGAAGATCCCGTTCCCTCCCCCACTCACGCACACGCCCTCCCCCACCAAGTAGGAGCAGACGCCTTCTTGACCACCTCAGTCAGAGTCGGAGTCCAAGTCTGACGACGTTCTCGTTTCGACCATTTTGTGCATCGCTTCGTCCAAAGGAGCCATTTGTCCATCCGGACCAACTCCCATCGGCTGAATTATCTGCTCTCTGCGGTGAACAAAGACAGGGTTTAGCACGTCAGGAGGACATCCCAAGGCTCTGGGACAACACAACCTGGAAGCATGAACCTGTGGCCGTTGTTTTCCGCAGAGCCGTAATATATATCCAAACCCCCCACCAAAAAAAAATCTTAATTAAAATGGAAAAGCTGACTTCTGAAGTATCAGTGGTTCAAGTCAGTTGGTTAATGTCTCTGCTGGCAGAGCACCACTAAAGCTCTCTTGGGAGGGAAATTCACCGGCTTGTAACCTTGCCATCTGGCTCCACTGAGAGAAGTAATGAAACGATGCCAGGCTTCTCCACATTGCCTTTCTGCTTTGTTTCTGGTTCATCTGCTGGTTATCCTTGGGATTTCCAAACTCAATCACAGAAGGGGGTGGGGGGGAGGAAAGAATTGTCGCACAGAAGGAGGTCATTAAATTTATCAAAGCTATGCTGGTGCCAACGCCTCCATTGAAGCCCTCTAACCTCTATTCCCTTTCTTTTCCCCACAGCCTTTATATTTATTACACAATGGTTGTTTATCATTTGTTCTGACAAAGACCCTGCATTCCCCCACCTCCATTCCTCTGCAACTTCAATTCACTCTCTCTCTCTATCAGTTTCCTGGCTGACAATTCCCCGCCCCACCACCACCCCCCCACTCCAAGACAATATCGGTCACTCAATCCATGACTTGGACACTGCTGTGCACAACTGGCTGCTGCTTTTGGCCCACAAAACACACAGTCAACGTACTTTACAGTATATTCTGTGAAGCGCTTTGAGACGTCTCAACGACGTGATAAGGTGCTGTATCAAATGCAAGGATTATTATTATTAAATTACTCCTTTTTAGACAATGATCGAGCTTCCTCTTGAAAGCTCACATGGCCCTGCCTTGATCATTGAACAGTGCAGGATGTCCCACATCTTGTCAATTGTGTTTCTCCCCATCAACTCGATCGCATCCGCTCACATTTTAAGGATCTCCGTCAATTATAACATGGGGAAAACCCCGTTAGTGGCCAAAAGTCGATGCATCTAACGCATTTCTCCATTAAGACTAAAATCTTGCGACATTGCAGAACCTTTGACACCTTCAGAAACCTTTGGCTTGGGGGTGGGGGAGCGGGGTGGGGGGGGGGGGGGGAGTTTGATCATCAGCATTATCAACAACAAAAACAACAAATGACACTGTCACCGTGCATTTCACATCAGGAGGGAGGATGTCCCGAGGCGCTGAACAGTCAGGGATTTGGACCTGAGCTGTGGGCGGTGGTGGGGGGGTGTGGTGGGTTGGGATCAGGAGGGGTGGAGGGAAGTGAAGGTAGGTGTAGAAGGGTTACCGAAGACACGGTCAAAAGGCAGGGTCTTGAGACAGGCCTTGAAGGAGGCGAGGATGCCTATCATTTGTGCTTGTGTGGCCGCGACGGTTAATGTAACCTCGACAGCTAACTTAATCCCGTTTTTTTTGGTCGATTCGAGCGCGATCCGCCTTTGGCTGCTTCCAATTTCAGCTACACAGCAGGCAGCCAGCAATACCTCCCGGCACAGTGGCAGGCTTGGCCCCAATACCCAGATTCAACATAAATAATCAATTAGGCAGCGCTGGAGGCGTGGGGTTGGAATGTCGGCTGTTTGTAATGTGGCACCTTTACATTCCGTCAAGCTTTTTCATAGCAAACAAAAGAATCTCGTTGGAAGTCATTGCTGGAAACATCAGTACAGAGGGTCCATTAGCTCGGATTCCGAGAGCTAAGAAAATGCATTCGGAAAGTGAGTAGGAACCCGGTTGCTAAGTCGATTGGTGTATTGCTTTCTGGGGTAAAAGTTCCTCCACTCCCCGCCCCCCCCCCCCCCACCCACACACATCCACTTCCCCTCCCACACACACACATTTCACGTCCTCTCGACATGAAAGACTTTTTTTTAAAATGTAAACTGTATTGCATAGTATATCCCAATGTATTAATCCTATTAACTGTTGAAGTAATCGGTTTGATTTGCTTTTGGGAGTTTTGCACCACAGATGAGCTTAGAAACGGTCACAAACCCCGGCCTGAGCTGAAACAATCAAGTTAATTTAAGGTCGGCCTCGACAACGCAAGCAGCGAGGAGGCTGGTGGGTACCTGGAAAGCTTATCGAACATGTTGAATAGCTTCATGGCTTCAAACTCCTTCTGTTCGTCCGTCATTCCCTCCATTGGGTTCACCACTCTCTCTTCAACACGCCCCGTCACGGGATTAATACTGCAACACGAGTGTTAATACAGAGAATGAAGTAGCATGTGGCACTGTGTGATCGAGCAGAGCTCAAGTTCCACTCTCCTGAACTCAGTTAAGTCTTTTTTCGACCCTTTGGGTGACAGTCCCAAAGGTGCCAATTTCCTCCGTGCAGGCGTTTAATCAGCTAAACCCGCATAGCTTGCCATTGAGAGCACTGACTGGCAAGTTTCCCACTCCTTGGTCCTCCCTACCCCACAGAGCTTTGGCTTACAAGGTTAACAGGAGACGAGTGGGAGGAATTCCTGCTCTCAGTCCCAGTCTGTCCTTCAATGACATACCAACCTGCCAGGCTAGTTGGCCTGTCATCAGCAGGACTCTGGAATATTGAGGACCTGCCAGGCTCAGGAGCCAAACTACTGAGAGAGAAAGCCACAAAGAAACAACATGATTACGATATTTCACTGCCAGGATGTCACCTTAGAGCCAAGTGAGAGTTCAAGATGGGGTCAAGAAGGTCCCATTGAACTCTTTCATCAAAATCCGTGACCTAAACCTGAAGCTGGATTGGTCCCAGGCTCCTCTTTCACTTATCAGGGAGACGAGAAAGTAAAGGGGAAATGAACACTGACTTACTTTGCTTTGGCTTCTTTATATTCCTCTGTGTCTGTGTCTTCATCTTCTGAATATGTGCCTTCTCCTCGACCCCCTCCCATTAGGCCTCTGGCAGCAAGCAGACCTGCTGCGTTCCCGTAACCCGTGTACTTTACAAACCTAGCGACTAGATGAGAAACCAGAGTCAAACAACTACTTACATTTTTTTATGAGCACTTACCACGGCAATACATCTCAATGGGTCTCACAATAATTAATGGTCAAGTGTAGCGACTGCTTAATGCCAAAAAGGCAGCCATTTTGTGTGTAGGAAGGTCCCGCACACCACCTCGAGGTGAACAACCCAATTTGACGACAGGGAGAAGGTCCCTTCTCCTTTTGAAAAGGGTCAGTGACTAATTTTCATGTCCGCCTGAAGAACAGGGCAAGCAGGACCTCGGTTTTACCTCCCCATCTGAAAGCCGGCATCTTCTACAATGTAGCACTGGTTGGGTGTGTCAGCCTAGACATAGGGCTCAAGGCCACTATTTGAACCCACAACCATCTTACCCAAGAGAGCCACCAACTGAGCCAGGCAGACACGACCTTTAGATGAAACCTTATTGAGCTTGCCTTGCAACCCGAGATAGCAAAGTTGCTGGACTCCCAACCAGGAGACCTAATTGCAATCCCAATCCAGGCAGTTTTCAGGGGAGGAAAAGTGATGTGAGAGGGGGAACTCTCAAACCATTCACCTGCTGAGATCAGTGAATATTTCAATGGTCAGGGATCCAGCCTGGTGGGTTCCTATTGATTGCTCCAGTGAGCCCCCTAACGAACACTGACCATGTCTTCAGGGTTGCCCGAGTGAGAAGAGCTAACAGTGGAGATGAAGAAAATCTTAGCACCATTTCAAAAGGGGTAAAAACAATGGCGAGGCAGTTAATGCATGCTGGTCTTTTTGCTGGGGGTGTGGGGGTGGTGGGGGAGGAATTGCTTATGCACAAAAATATTTGCAAAGAAATTGGTGATTTTTGGTGCATTAAGACAGTGAAACAGCTATAAGCTGGTGGGGTGGTGGGGAGGGTGAGGGTTTGTAATACCTCCCCCTGGCTCGGTGTTGTGCTCCGCCACTGTTAAGCGCTCCTGGGACACTACCCTGCGTGAGGGGGTGGGGGCTATATAAATGGTGGTGGTTGTTGTCGTCTGGTGCTCACCACTCTCCTTGCACAGGACAAATAGGTACTCAGCAGCGCAGTGCTTGATGTCCGTGTCTATGTGCGTCATCAGGCGAACCAGCTTGTTCCGCAGTAAGTTCCCCACCTCAGGCCGAGTTTTCACGTCCCGCAGAGGGGGCAGCACCTACGGGTTCAAAGCCAATTTACACAAACGTGCGTCAAAAACATTCCCCAAGCCCAATAATTTTTGTGATAAGACACAAGTTTGGAAGAAATCTGTTCGAAAGGAAGAAAAGCACGAGAGATTTCACGCAGCCGGTTGATATTGGCAGCTCTGCTGAAGGTAACCAGCAGAGGATTTCAGAGACTGCATTTGTGTCGTGCTCGGGAGAAACTGTTTCCACTGGCAGGTGGGTCAGTAACCATAGGGCACAGATTTAAAGATAATTGGCAAAAGAACCAGAGGGCGAGATGAGGAGATTTTTTTTAAAAAAACCCAGCGAGTTGTTACGGTCTGGAACGCACTACCTGAAAGAGTGGTGGAAACAGGTTCCATAGTAGTTTTCAAAAGGGAATTGGACATACATTTGAAAAGGAAAAAGAATTGCAAGGCTGTGGGGAAAGAGCGGGGGAGTGGGGCTAGTTGGGTAGCTCTTTCAAAAGAGCTGGTACAGGTACGATGGGCCGAATGGCCTCCTTCTGTGCTGTCTGATTCTAAGAATCCATTAGGCGCACTGTGAAAACCCATGTGTAGATAGAGTGCTCTTAATTATACTACTAACAAGCCGTGAAAAGGATTACAGGATCTGGTTTACCCAACTCGCTTAATAGACCACAGAGACACCTGAACATGATGCTATTGCTGTTTAGGCTGCACATTACTAATGGCTGCTTTCACATCAGTGCCAGATGGTCTCCTCGCCTGTGTCCACATCCTGTTTGTGCTCCTGTGGCCTTGCAGTCTGTCTGCAGTCGCTGAGCCAGCTTTTCCAGTGGGAAGGAATGCTCACCTTGAACCGGAGGAACTTCCTGGTCTCACGGTGCACTCGGGCGCTCTCTGTCAGCAAGTTCAGTGCTGGTGTCAGTGTCTCCTTCAGTTTGTGCCCCTGAAGTGAACCAAACAACCTCCATGACTCTTTAGGATGATGTGGAGCTGGCAGTGTCAATGGTGAGCAGAGTGGGGGGAGAGGAGGGGAAGGGGAGATGACAGTACAATACAGTTTATATTTATACAGTTCACTTCAGGTCAGGAGAGGGTCTCGAGGCGCTTGTGCACTTTTTCACCGTTCGATCGCTGGATCACAGCGGGCAGATTTGCTGGTGTGCGGATGTTGAGAATAATTCATGCTTTGACGAGTTATCTGATAACCCACGTCTTATGAATTTGTCCAGATGTTTCACAAGGAAAATTAACCCACAAAATATACAGTCAATTCACTTTACAGTATACTCTGTGAAGCGCTTTGAGACGGTTCAACGACAGGATAAGACGCTATATCAAATACAAGGATTATTATATCTGAGCGTATAATGTGTCTATGTGTCTTTGTTTAGATGGCTCCAAATTTAGTTTGGAACGTAGTCAAGAAATTGACTAAGGAAGCAACTGAAAGGGATTAGTATTTTGCTGCAATGTCAATTGCAAATAAACTGGAAGATTTGTAAATTTAACCTTTGATTGCCCTTCCTAACCTGCCTCTGGTATGAGCCCTCTCCTGTTCCCATTAGCCCTAAGCCCCCATTCATCCGGATTAGCTGCAGTGGTAACATTATATGTTTGATGACAGATCTGTGTTTAAAAATCTCATCTCTTTTGGATATAAAAATTGCCCCTCGCTCTAGTTTGGAGTTACAATCAATGTAGACGACAAACTGGCAAGAAATAAGATGAGATTTACTGAGGTATTTTTACACTCAGCCAACCAGCTTTTAGCAGAATCGCAGATGAAGTCTATTAAGACTGTGCTTCACTGGGGCTTGTGATGCAACGCCGATATTGATACAGATGAATGCAGGAGAAATGTTGTACCCAGAATTATGAGGGGCTTTGATAAAGGTGGCATCCTGGCTCAGTTATTAGCACTCTCCGGGTTAGAAAATTGTGGGACCACATTGGGGACACCGAGCTCACAGCCTAGGCTGACGCTTAAGTGCAGTATTGGGGGTGGGTGGGAGAGGCGCTGCAATGTCAAAGGTGCCGTCCTCTGAATGAGACATAAAACCAAGGCCTCTTCTTCCATTTCAGGTGGACGGTAAAGATCCTACTGTTTGAAATCAGAAGGGAGTTTCTCCCAGTGTCCTGGACAACAATCCTGCAGATAAAACAACCATTCACCTTCAACGGCTGTTTGTGAGGCATGTTGCAGTGCACATATCGTCTCAAATTATGCAATCGCTGTGCGTCAAAGAAAATCTGTTGCGATGATCATTATTGCCAACGTTAGCCTGCGATCGCTTACCCTGTCCAGCCTCTCCTCCATGAAATCCAGGAGGATGTTCACAGCATCCATGTTCATCCCCATGTACTCGACCGAGCCTTGCTGGACTTTGGGAGTCAGCAGCACATCCAGACACATCAGTGGCAGGTTCCCCATCAGGTTCACTGTGTGGCTGAGCACATGAACGGGAAAATGCTAACAACTCACACTGACACACACCCATTCATGCTGGCATTGAACAGTGCAGGTACAACATTGATAAATTAATATTTATATAGCGCCTTTTACGTCAGGAGGACCTCCCAAGGCACTGGATAGTCAAGAGTTTGCACCTGATCTGGGGGTTGGAATCAAGAGGGATGGAGGGCAAATGGGACATGGAGCAGGCCAGTGCTGGTCGAGCAGAGGGAGCGGGCAGGTTAGTATGGTTTTAACGGCAGAACAAAGCACCTTGCACCAAGGTACACACAGCCTAAGACTGAGGGGAATTTCAGGCATCAAGGAGAGGGATCTTAGCTGATATCTAATGGAGAGAGAAAGTGGAATGACAATCGTCAAAAAAAAAAGCAGAGTTTGCGCGAGCGATTTTAAGCTATTTTACATTTTCGTTCCAAGATGAGGGATAAGGTGCCCCTGACATTCCATTCAGGGGTCACAGCCACTGCTGATAGGAGGTGTGATTGAAGTCTGAGACGTGAGGGAATCAGCTTGCAGTCTTCATTGCTATAAAAGACCCACTTAACTGGGGACAAGCTGTCTTTGAATGACAGTCACTCCGGGGACTGGAGGGGAAAGCTTTCTGGGGTGAGGCAGTGTTTGTCGAACTCCCAGTTCTGTCAACAAATGCAAAGTCGCTCTATTTTTGGGTAAAATGGATTTATACCTGCAGTTCAGCAAAAAGTCAACCACAGTGATCTGGGAATATCAATCCCACGTGCACCATCAAAATCAGAGCAATCTAAACGTGTGTGGCTGATCCCTTATGTGCTATTGCTAAATAGTCAAACTAACTAAACACACACACATATATAGGTACGTACATGGATGCATACACATATCTACACATGTGCACGCACACATACGTGTACACACACATGTATACATACAGGTCCGCTCCCATGCAATAAGAAATTTGATCACTCAATCCACAACTGTTTGTGGGACGCTGCTGTGCGCAATTGGCTGCCGCGTTTCGCCCACAAAATATACAGTCAATTCAGTTTATTCTGTGAAGCGCTGTATCAAATGCAAAGATTGTTATTATTATCATCATTTTAAAGTGTAAGAAATCATAGCCATAACGATGACTGAGTGATTTTTGGCAAACGTACCAATATCTACTGTTAGAAAGTGTGGATTTATGACGGCAATTCAAAATCCGTCTGATTCTCACCCTTGTCTCTGCTGAAATTAATTGACGGTTCCTCACAGCATTTACGTTTGCAACTAAATCAATATCTATAACTCCTGGGGAAGAGCGCAGGCTATAACAGCGGTTGGTCAACATGGCTTGAGAAGTAATAGATTGCGGCTTGCAAAACCCACTGGAGCATTTGAGCATTAAATCTAACAGGTTAAGGAATTCAGCCAATAAAATTTACTCGGATTTCAAGAAGAGGCGTCTGATTAAGCTCTACGAGTCAAATTTTTCACAAAGGTTAAAAAGCTTCAAATCAATTTGCCCGGCAGCTGGTTAGATCGCAAACAGGTTCAGCAATAGGAAACAGGATCTGAATGCTAAACGGAAAGACTTCAATGGTAAGTCCCATTCTAAACACATAATAAAGGCTGGTGTCAGCCATCAGGTGAATAGATTTGTGTTAGGTCAGGGTGTCAAGGGAAAAGGGGCAAGGGTGGGAAATTGGAGTTGAGGTACAGATCAGGCTCGAGAGGCTGAATGCCTCCTCTTGTTCCTATCAGAGCACATTCGACCCCCCCCCCCCCCAATAAGTGGCTGACAATGAGGGGGAAAAAAATAATTACACACGATTCAGATCGTCAAATAATCCCCTTCTTTGTAAACGTTTTAAAGAAGCACAATATTGGGCAATTACATCCAATATTGTAAAACAACCGTCTATTTTTCTCTGAATTATATTCCTATTTCTTGGAGACTGAAACACCTCCCTCTCTCTTGCCCCCCGTCCCACCACCACCATCCGCAATGTGAACCAGTGCTGAATAAAGGACATTGGAATGAATTTGTAACGCGCAGTCATAGACTTACCTGTGAAACTCCTCTGTTCTGTCCTCGCCGTCCGCTTTGATCAGTAAACAGTGACGCAGGATAGCACCAAGGTGACGGTATAGAGCAGCATCTTCCTGTCGTCAGAGAAATACTGCTTTACACCCCAGTTATAGACAACCAATCAAGAGATTTAGTAAGCGATTTAGCAAATGATTTAATAACAGGTAAAGTCCTTTCAGTTTTACTGACGAGCCTGAGACAAGAGTGTGTGTCAGCCTGGCTCACTCGGTAGCTCTCTCGTCTCTGACTCAACTTGTGCGTTCAAGCCCCATGTCGATATTTTGAACTCACACTGACTGACACTGCAATGCAGTAGTGGGGGAGCGACACATTGTCGGAGGTTGTCATCAGTCTGGATGAGATGTTAACCGAGGTCCCTTCTGTGCCTGTTCAAGCGGATGTTAAAGATCCGACAGGACTATATGAAAAGAGAAGGGAGTTGCTCTAGGTGTCCTGGCCGACTATCTGTCAAATAAAACTGGTCATTCATTTTGTGGCTGCCTTGGGACTTTGCTGTGTGCGAAATGGCTGCCGGGTTCGCCCACAAAATACAGTCACTTCGCTTCACAGGACAGTCTTGTGAAGCGCTTTGAGATGGCTTCCTGACTTGAAAGATGCTGGTACCAAATGTAAGGATTATTATAAAACACAAAATGCTGCGGATGCTGGAAATCTGAAACAAAAACAGAGATCGCCGGGAACACTCAGCAGGTCAGGCAGCATCTATGGAGAAAGGAAAGTGAGTCAACGTTTACGGGTCCATGACCCTTCGTCAGAACTGGGGGACGTTGGGAGGGAGAGGTTTTAAGGACTAACAGAGAGGGGAGGTGGGGCAAGAAAGACAAAGAAGAAAATGGGGTGGAGGACAGGGGATGATGGCTTATAGAGGTGTTCATGATGTAAAACAAAGGAAGGCAGCAGAGGAAGATACAGAGATAGAAAAGGTGTGTTTGGGGCCCAGACAATAAGGATTATCATAGTCTGTCATGCAGAGGGTTGACAGAACGTGGACTGCTGTTTGGCTACTTGCAATGAAGCATGAGATGGTCATGTTCAGAAAGACAAAACTTGCTTTTATTATATTGAGCCGTGTTATGTCTCAAAGTGTGTCCCAGGTAGAATTTCGAAGAGAAATGATGCCTTGCAGCCGGAACCGGGATAGCTGTTTGCATTTTGTGCCAGCGAGTTCCCACAGACAGATCAAATGACCCACAATGGTGCGTGGGGATCCAGTGTACAATCCCTGCATGACTAATTCTGAGCAAGAGAGCGAAGAACCCGATTTGGAAACAATAATGATAATCCTTGCATTTGATATAGCGCCTTATCACAATGTCGAGACCTCTCAGAGCGATTCACGGGCTATACTGTAAAGTGGAGTGACTGTGTATTTTGTGGGCGTCCTTCAGTTGGGGTGATGACCCGGGGCACCAGGTTACCTCGTCGACCTCCCTCTTGTTTGAGTCGAAGGTGATGTTGAACAGGATCTTCAGGATCTCCATGGCCCGCTCGGTTTCCTGGCGGGGAAGGGGTGGGCCACCGCCATCGGTTGCCACCTCGTACGTGTCCAGCCACCTGACCCCCAGCGTGCTCTCCAGGGCGTCTGCCAGCAGGCTCACCCCCCGCAGCTCGTGGGCCAGCTGCTTGCGGATGTCCACCCGGAGAGCCGTGAAGAGGAAGAGCAGGCGCAGGTCGAAGAACTTGATGTCATGCGTCAGGTTCTTCTCATTGTACAGTTTCAGCCTGTCGGCCAGTCCCAGCACCAGCCGGGTTTCTGCGCAGACCTCCTGCGCCACGCAGCTGTTGAAGACGATGTTGCAGAGACACTTCAGAGCCTCCACGATGACGTCCAGGTCCGGCATCTCGTGGACACGTTCCTCGCGGTATTGTATCCCGCCATGCCTGGCCAGCGACAGCATAGCCCCCTTGCTGGTGAAGGGACCCAGGTTGCTCTTGTCCCTGGACAGGATACGCACGGTCTCCAGACAGGCTAACTGGCACGACGGCTGCAGGTCTCGCTCCAGGAACCTCATCACCAGCTCCCCCAGTTTCTGAAAGCAGGAGAGTAACCTCAGGAAAAACAACAACAGCTTGCATTCATATAGCGCCCTTCACGCGGGGCAGGGTCTCGGCGTGCTTAACAGCGGTCGAGCCGGGAGGAAGGAGGAGGCAGAGGAAGATCATTGACCTTTAAAAACACAGGCTTTGGAAGAGCACTCGCTTTTGGGGGAAACAAGTGATATGTGAGTGGTATCGCCTCGCACAGAAAATACAGTGAACTTCACTATAATGAATCCCATTGGGAGCAGCAGAAAAGATTGTTATATCGGGGTGTACATTATGGTCGGGTTTAGGCCATCAAAGAGGTGTAAAGCTCTTGCTGGGTCTTGCCGTTGGGATCATTAAAACCCAAGGTTTGTTATGGTGGGGTTCGAATGTAGGACACAAACGACAACAACAACTTGCAGTTATCTAGTGCAGTGCTGATCGGCATCTATGGTGGACGACACAATACATTTTCTGGATCGAATATTTCTGGATTTATGCCATAAATGTGGGCCTCGTCGTGGGACCTATCCAAACCACTCCATCTCCCAGAGGGAGGACACCAATCAGAAGGAGACTTTCCCGGAATATAAAGTGCTGCAAATTTTCTCCCCGGCTCTCAAAGGCAATCAAGTGAAACTCCAGGACATCACTTCAATTCCAGATTGTGCTATTCACCTTACGGCTGCTAGGTTCTGTCAATGAATCAGCCATCACCCAAAAGCGCCAACTGGACCCAGGCTCCACACTGAATTCAATCATCCCTTGCTTTCCTCATCAATCTCTTCAATCTCAAACTTAACCTGATATTTATCCAGCCTTTTATTTCAAAAGTTAACTCATTACATCGCCCATTTTTACACTCAATTTCTGGTGATTTTTGTTTAACGATTCTTGAGGCCTCTGGAGAAGTGGTTCATCCTTTCAGGACTCAATGGCAAAAGGAACCCTGTTCCATATTTGATTCCTAAGATCCTGAGACACACCTGTGCTTCATCCTATTACCATCCTCTACGCTATAATCCATATTAATACTAAAGGGTCACTTAGTGAGGTAATGTGCTTCTATACTGCAAATCTCGCATTAAAAGCGATTACTGTTCTGCCTTTGGAACCGTGATCTCTGACGCATTAGCTCAATCCCATAAGAACTCAATTGGCACATCTTCTTACCCCAGTTATAATTGGAAGTACACGGTACTAGGCGCATTCTTTGATCCTCCCTCTGCACAGAGTACACACCTCCCTTGGCCCCTTCTTGTTCCTATTCTTGCTGCTGTCTATGCTTTGTACAATGGGAGGCAAGTAACAGCTACATTTTCTCACACGAAAGTCGGGAGCCCATTCCGTCCTTTTGGCCAGTTTATTAGATCATGTGCGATCTTTTAGTCTCATTTTCCTGACTTTTCTCCATAACCCTTAATGCTCTAACCTCCCAAGTATCCAAGTCACAGTGTTTTAGGCGATTGAAGATTTAATTCAATCAAATCCCGGATTGGAAAGTGTGGAGCAGAGTTTGGCTACATTTTTGGAGCTGGAGTGAACCTCTCGGTTTGTACAGGGCTTATCTCAAGAGGTAATACAACAACAACAACTTGCATTTGTACAGTGCCCCTCACACTGGGTAGTGTCCCGATGTGCTTGTCACAATACAGTGTTCATTACTTTACTCACACTTGGTAGTGTTTGCTAATAATAATCCTTGCATTTGATATAGCGCCTTATCATGCCATTGAGATGTCCCAAAGCGCTTCACAGGATTTACTGTGAATTGCAGTGTGTGTGTGTTTTGTAGACGAACGCAGCAGCCAATTTGCACACAACAAATGTCCCACAAACCTGGCACAGACCCACAATCCAGTACTCTGTGTATTGACTGACGAATGAGTTCCACCTACACACTATAGGCAGATGCAATTGAGTGAAAAGCATAGACTGCTCTGCCAGCAAACAATGAATCAACCATTAAGTTCCATTTAATATTACAGAATAATGGATACCTGAATGTGATTTTGAGGCAGAAATCAAAACAAGCGATTTGCACGTCACTGAAGATTTAACTTGATGTTCAGAAACTAAGATGGCTACTGGATATCTAGGAATGATACCAATGCAATAAGTGAATGATAGCGTTCAGACGACATCATAGAGGAGTTACTTAAAATGGGAAAAATAAGATGAATAACAAATAACTGAGCGATATTGAAAGCCAATGAATTAATTACTCACTGGCTCTAGATGTCACAAATAATTCATTTCAAACCCCCCCCCAAAAAAAAAATTAGATTCTACTTTTGAAATTGCTTCCTGGTCACCTTAGCTGTAGATGTAATGTTTTAAGTTTAAGTTTAGGTTGTTTTTTAGTCTGTGTATGAACTCTGGGGTTTAACGCACAAATTGTGCAAGCCAAGTGTAAATGAGGGTATGTGTAAACTGTGTGTAAATGTGTTAATCATGCTCGTTCTTACACGTGTTTTACACAATTTGCATAATACACTCCAACAACATAACACATGGTTTGCACACAACTCGCAAGGTAGAACCCAGAGGCTTTTAAACTGAACAACAAGCATCGCAGCAAACAACATCCTCAATGTGAGAGGATCAATCACTAAGTGGTAACCACTGGCACATCAGTGTGCAACCTGCAAAGTCTTCTCCCAGCTCTAGACTCATTAGACTGAGCTCGCTCGTTCTACATTTTTTTTTGAAAAAGTATTTATAGTATAACAACAAAAATAAAGGACTTAAAAAAGTGACTTTAACCAAAAAGCAATCAATCAAACAGGATGCACAAAGGTGACCTTTAGTAATTAATTTACTTAATTAAAAGGGGATTTATCCAGACACTGGGAGGCTCTGTCGGAATAAAAAGCAATCTGAGGCATGTGGGTTTTAATCCATTTAAGAGCAATTTGATTTGCTAAATAAATAGGGTTGTATCTCTTTTAAAATGTGACACTTGGGGAAAATAACTCCCTTTTCCATCACATACTGAGATTAACAGCAACTTGGTCACTTTAGCTTTGACTCTCACTGAGGCCTTAAGCACATGTTCACGAAGGGTAATACGAGGGCAGACACCAGGCTGTTTTTGTTTATCCAGAGGGTAATTAACGATTGAAATAGATTGCCAGGAGTGGTGGTTGAGGCCAGGACACTGGACCCATTTAAGAACTAGCTTGATGCTGTGATAGAAGATGGTGAGATGAGGATTATGAAAGGATGAGATCAAATGGGTCGAGGAACTTTCTTCATCCGAACCGCTCTTGTGATCTTCACGATGTTAATTATAGTGGCAGTGATTATTAAAACAGACAGAAGAAGACTGCAACTTGCGTCACTAGTTGCAACAATTACACATTTCTATACGTCGCTGTTAAGCACTAGGTAGCCTGTGGCACAGAGGATTGCAATACCAGAATAATGCAAAAACGGAAAATAGTACATTGATATTGGCAATAAAAGTATTATCAACGTGTTTGCTGCAGTGGTGGAGATTATGCAAGATGCTTGTTGATATTGCACACATCTGATAGAAATACTCTGTGCCACGAGAGGCTACACAGGGAAGCATTAGGTTCAGCTGGCTGAATGTTAATTATAAAGTTCATTAAAATCTCTCCTCCTCGCACTCAATTCATTTTCAGTCACATCTTTGCAAGCAAAACCCCTTACTGCGTGGCTCTGAAATCAAACACGTACATTACCAAGTTCCTTACATTCTCAGACAGGTGTCTCATTCAATTGTTTTATTACATTTCTCTCTCTCTCTCTGCACCCACTGTACAATTACACAGTAACTTTTCAGGGCTTGTTAATTGCATAATTAAGAGCACCTGCAATTCCCTCTGTACACATGGCGCATACTGCAGCTCTCTTTACTCTCCGTTTACATGCGGCACATCACATAGCTTTGCTCACACGTGGTTTGCACATGGCGAATAACAGTCCAGGGAGGTGAAGTCCTTCGTCCATCCAGCCAATCTTCCCGGCCAATTCAGGTGTCAGCCTGGCTCAGCTGGTAGCACTAATTATTATATCAGATTTAGTTTGAAACATCACATTTTCACCCCAATGTGCTCGGTGCTCACCAGTGTTGACGGTCACACCAGTGGTTGTCTTTACATAGAATCAAATTGACTGATACAACATGGAAACAGGCCAATTGGCCCAACAAGTCCGCGCGTCTCTGCTAATTAGATCAGGATTTACTTCAAGGAGAGCCTCATTATTTCAAGTCATCTTTCGAAATGTTACACTCTCTGCCCCCCACCCCTTCCTTCCCCCGTTTTAAGTTCCGTGTCGGTTTGAATTTGTTTTGTTTAAAGGGCTGACGACTCAACAGAAATTCTTCCACGAACCTTACGCCACAGTGAAGGAAGTAATTCAGTGCCACGTCTGTTACAGGGGCAACATCCGTACGGCGGTGTGCACATGTATTTCGAAGCCATTGGCATCGTTGGAGTATTAGGCTGTGACTAATATTTTTAATATATATAATGAAGACGTTGCTCTTTGAATGCCGCAAGCTGATAACATAACTGACAAAGCTGCCTGACAGGAATTACTGACACTCCGAGGGAGAGGAATTGTTGTGCACAATTGGAACAGAAAAGACTCCTCAGTCAATAACAGCTTTGCTGTCCAGCTCTGAATTTCCACCAGGTCAATTTTCCCCAACCACAACATCCTGTTTACACTGTTTACAACAACAACAACTTGCATTTATCTAGCGCTGCTCACACGCGGGGAGCTTTCTCAAAGCGCTTGTTTAACCAAACGTACATCGGATATTAACAATGGAGTGGGAGGAGGGGGGAGTTAAGACGTGAACACAGATCAGATTCTGTTAAAAGGGATGCTATAGGGAGCTCCCTTTTAATTGCTTGTGCTACAATTGTGACTATGTAAAGCACAAAGGGACAAGAGTGGAAATTGGTTGTACCCTAATATCACACTGAAGAGGGAAGAGGGTTTTGCTCAACTTTAATGGACTAGATTTCAAGCGTAGAAGTACTGAAGGGGTTAACTTAACGTTTTTACCTCCTCTTGTTGCTGCTCCTCATATGAAGTGCATGCGATGCGAGCGTAGAATTTCGCAGAAAAAGAAAACACATTGAATTATTAATGCGCTAACACCATTGTGGTGGTAAGAACAGATCTGCTGCTTTGGGCTAACTTCTGTTTCCCTTTGAAACCTTACAGCGTTTTAAATTGAACGAAAGTCCTCATCATTAGCAGACAATCTTGCACTTTTCTTACAATGGCTTAACAAATGTTGCTATAGAGCTCTTGGCAGTGCTCTGTACAACACTGTGATGTCTATCTCCTGTTTGGCTCTCCCTGGAGCAGCAGTTTTGTATTGTACAACTTACCTTTCTCTGTCCACGCTTCTCCACGTCAAACACGAAACATTGGGAATTCTGAAAGAGAGTGGCGAGAAATCCCAGTTACCAATGAAATAAAATCAACTTTACCGATAAAACAGGAAACGACTGAGAATTCTGAAAGAAAGTGGCGGGTTGTCATACAGGCTCAGTCGGTAGCAATCTCGCCTCCGAGTCAGAAGGTTGTGGGTTCAAGTCCCATCTTTGAACTCGAGTAGTCTAGGCTGACACTCCAATGCAGTGCTTGGGTAGTGCTGTATTGTTATGCCACTAAACCAAGGTCCCATCTAACTGTTCAACAACATTTGTTATCTTTCATGTTGGGAGGACATAGGGATTTGGGATTTGGACCCAAGCACAGGGTTTGCGTTCGGGTGGGGGCATTAAAGATCTAGTGGCACTGATCGAAAAGTGAAAGGAGTTTCTCCTCAGTTTTACATCTGATCCAAAGGAAGACACCTTGGGTTGCCAGCAAAGACTATGAGCTCAAAGCTCTAACGTGGGGCTTGAACCTACAACCTCTTGACTCAGAGACAAGCGTGCTACTCACTGAGCCAGCCCGACACCTTCTGATATATGGAATTATTGCTGGATTACTGGTTAAGCAAAGCTTTAGTTAACCCTCAATTCTCTTCTTCACAGTCTTCAGTCACAGAGGATCTTGTGGATCTAAGAATGCAGGATTCACAAAAGGTCTGGCAATTCTCCCACAGATGGCATGTTTTTGGATTTGCAACTTATTCATAGACTGCAGAGTCTGCAGACATATTGTACAGCCATGAGCACTGGTAAGTATCAGAGAATTACCTTCATAAAGAAAGCATTTGAAAGAAATTCTTCTGCAGTTAACGAAACTTGGCTGCAATACAACTCTGCCCAAACCACAGGAATTTCAATTTGCTGTAATTTATCCACAAAACTTAAGTAATGAAAATCACAGTGCCTTGCGATTTCATTTTGCACAACATGCCTCTTTTTGCTTTAGACACTAGACATCAAAAGGGGTTGGGGGAATTGGCATTAACCCCAATGAAGGCGCTCTATTTGAGAACAGATGGACAATCGGGTTACCAGAAGACTTGGGCTCCTACACGTAGGCAGTGCTTACATTACCACAAGGGATGTGGAGTTCAGCACCACCAGACATCATTGGTTGCTCGTCCATGCAATTTAGCTGGCATATACCGCACCTTTTTAGGTAAAAATAATACATGAAACTCCAAAGGAAAAGGGCTCTGTAAAGAGTTATCCAGACTAGCAATTTAGGCATATGTATATATACATAAATAAATGTGGCTGGGATATTGGCAGCATGGTGACTTGAGTGGTAGCGATAAGTTAAGCCAGGATTGAGATATCAGTAGTTTATTGTAGCCGGTCTCTTGCCTCTGCAAAAGTAAGACATATGGCTCACAAACTGCAAGATCCAAGGGTGGCTTTGACTGACAGACATATCTCTCAATACCTCTCCATTGTGTTTGACCTCCTTGCCTTCCTCTCTCGGATAGGTATGCCTCCCCTTCCCCATCTGCTCCAAGTTACCTTTTGGAAACACAGCACCATTCCATCCATTGGCTGCCATCTGTAAACCGGGTGATGTGTGCATCCCTTGTCAATAGTTTCCAATGTGTTTAAGCAGTAAATTTTTTTTGTTGTTTACGTGTGCGAGTATCACTGGCCCCAGATAAATATTTTGCCAAGCAAGAAATCCCCTAAGTTGTTCTGGTATAAATATAGCACCATCACCGTCAAAACTCCCCTCTCGCAGGTAAAGCTCACTTGCGGTGCTCAGTGAAGACAAACAAAACTGCAAACTTGCATGTTAATCCTTGCTCGACTTCAAAAACTGCGGGGAAAAGTGAGTTTAACGGGATCGCTGGTTATCTCCTGCTTTTGGCAAACACAGTATCATGTCTTCGAGACGTCTCAAAGCACTTCACAGAATACACTGTTAAGTGAATTGACTGTATATTTTGTGGGCGAAACACAGCAGCCAATTGCGTACAGCAATATCCCACAGACAGTTGTGGATTGAGTGACCAATTTTTTTTGAGGGATTATTACCCCCGGAAAAGCGATCTGCCAATTGACCAACAACCTGGTTCCTACTTACTGCTAGGTAAACAGAGGTGTGTGAATAAGAAAACTTTTCCATCGTTTTGCCCTGCCCAGGAATCAAACCCAGGTCCTCTCGCTTGCGAGGTGAGTGCCCTTACCACTAAACTACAGGAAAGATTGAATGAAATTAAAGCACACAAAGAAACATGTTGTGAAGTAGCTTTGATTGATAGATCTATCTCCACTGAGTTGACCTCTAAGCTGTCCTCTCTACAATAGGCCTGCCTGCCATTCCCATCTGATAATAGAGTTCTCTTTTTAAATGGAAATGACTCGGACAATTGTAAAACCATTTCTGCCTTGAAATTGCCAATAAGCTATGGAGCCGCTATCTTTCAGACGCTTCATTCTCACCTGCTCACTCTGTAATCGCTTCAGCGATCTTCCTCTATTCCCAGAAGACTATAGGATTTCTATGACTTGATGGCCATGCTCCACCGAATTTCACCCAACCTCCTGAGACAAGATGTTATTGCTATGCTCATCACTGTGTCAACAACAACCATCAGTACAGACGTAATGCCTTCACCCACCATATCCTCCTCTGGAATCCAAACTCAAAGTCCCATTATTCTCCCCTCCCTCTCTGCTCTCCGTTTTCTATCCCGTCTTTTGGATCAAAAACTGAAGACCTTCCTCTCCGACTGTGCTTACAGTCACCTCCCCCTGGTTTGGCGTCAGGCTCTGCCACTGTTAAGCGCTCCGAGACACTGACCCGTGTGAAGGACACTATATAAATACAAGTTGTTGTTGTTGTTGTCCCAACTCAGTTGAGGCTGAATATTTTTCTCTCGGCTGCGTCATGCAATCGCCAGCACTCAGGAGAGATCCACTCATAGAGCCGTATAAATTATTGAAGGAGGCTATATGCCTCCAAACATTTATTCTAATGCTAACTCCTCCATTGCCGCTCACCTACTCTATTCCCAATTCCCTGCTCTTTCCTTGTCCACTTGCATTTTGTTTCTCGACACAATAGGCTGTCTGGATTCCTCCTCTCTCTGTCCTAACCCACCCTCCCCAATGAGTATTCAACATTTTTATTAAACTTTGTTTCACCTCCTCAAAGGGACAGAAATGAAACCAGTGAAATGAACGTTCTTTCACATCACGGTTATTGAAAAGTAAATGGCAACTAATTCTCTGCTTGGGAAAAAGCAGGTTATTCTCAATGTTCTCTTTGCTTTATGATAGTAAGGGTTTCCATTCCTTTGTATTAACAAACAAACCACCATAACAACTACTTACATTTGTATAGCGCTTTTCAGGGAGAACAACTCAAGGCATTGGACCACCAAGGATTTGCACCTGAGCTGGGGGTTGGGATCAGAATGGATGCGGGGCAGGGTGGGTGACCGAAGGCGTAGTCGAAGAGGAAGGTCTTGAAGAGGCAAAGGGACTGTGGGACGGAGTTCCAAAGAGTAGGGATAGAGAGACTGAAGGCTCGACCGCCGATGATCAGTTGAGCAGGTTGGGGGACACGGAGCAGGCCAGAGCCCACTGAGAGGAGGGAGCTCACAGAAGTAGGGAGAAGCAAGGCCGCGGAGGGCTTTGAAAGCGAGGACGAGGATTTTGAACTCCATCCTGTGAGGGATTAGGAGCCAGTGGAGCCGGTCGAGGATGGGGGTGATAGGGTCACGGAGCCTGGTGCAGCAGAGGACATGGACTGCAGAATTCTGAATAATCTGATTCATTGAGTCGTTTTCTCTGCAACACAACTGCTAATGTAAATGCTTGTCGCCTTCACACAGGTTTGGCCCAGCCAGCTCTTAAGCTCTTCCCTTTGAATCGTCTCTCACGACCTGGTCTATCAATGTCCAACAAGAGCACAGCTTGTTGCAGGTCAGTTAATAGACGTGCACACGTTAATATGTCAACGGGTTTGCCAGCTAGTGATTATTCCAAACAGCAACAGAGATGGCAATTTCTGTACTAATTAACAGAAGACAAAACTCAGATCCAGCGCCGACCTGCACTTCTTAGAGGTTTAACCTTTTAAAGCAACATGCTGTTGACACACGAGTGCCTGTGTACCTGGAGGAACTCAATGTGGTGCCGCAAAGTGGGCAGAGACACAATTAATTTAATATAATAATCCTTGAATTTGATATAACGGCTTTTCACAGTAAAATTAACTGACTATATTTTGTGGGCAAAACGCAGCAGCAATTGCGCACAGCAGTGTTCCACAAACAGTCGTGGGACTGTATCACACTTATCACATTGAGACTGAGTGACCATGTTGTTATTAATTATTTTGAATAGATTTTTAATACCATCTCAACCACATCATAAGGCTCTCCAGGGCGCTACCCCACATGAAGGGCGCTATATAAATGCAAGTTTTTGTTGTTATAAGATGCTACATCAAATGCAAGGATTATTAGTATTATTATCATCATCTAGCTTCACAAAGGTAACTCCACTCCAAAACACCCACCCTTCATCTCAAACAAAATTGGTTCATTTCTTAATTACCTTTCAGCTCCAAATCTTTGACTGTGCTAACACACCTGCTGGCTGATTTACTTGTACAGGGTTCAGCCGTGGTCACACAAACTCCCAATTACCATTTCAACACAGAGGATTTTTCACCAAGGCCAGATTGCCTTTTAACTTTGGGCAGACTGCAGCTATTCTCACCTCTAACCTGCAGTCCTAGCACCGCACAAATCGCTCCCTACTTCTGGAGTGCAATTTACTGTAAAGTGAGGTGACTGTGTATTTTATTTGTAGCTGAATTCTGCAGGCAATTTGCATACAGCAATGTCCCACAAACAGGCATGATGTGAATGACCAATTTTATCTGGAGGACTGTTGGTCAGAATACCAGGAAAAACTCCCTTCTTCGTTTTGGAACAGTGCCACAGGATCTTTAAGGTCCAGGCAGCCCTGCATTTTTAACATCTCATCCCAAGATTGGACTTTGCTGCACTATATTGGAGTGTCAGCCTAGGCTACGTAATCTGATCTGATCTATATATTATATATATATGATATATGTAATCCTGATCTGGAGCTTGAACCCACAACCTTCTGACTCAGAGGCGTGAGTGCTATACTGACTGAGCTAAGCTGATACCTTTAAGAAGATTAGGGCGATTCCGTTTTCGAACTGCCAATATGTCCGTTGAATTGTTTCCGCCTGGCCAAGGCTGGAATGAAACACAAAGCTCTCACTCTCTCTGGCATTCACATTTCCTGTCTGTTTACTAGGGTAACACTCAGTTTTCCATCATAGCTGAATCTTGTCTCTGCTGCTGATGTATTGTTTTATTTTATATTATATTATGTATTATTAGCTGCAAGCTTCACTTATACATTGTTCATTTATAATGAAACCACTTTGCACACAGAGACAACTCTGTGTACGAACATTGTTACGATGTTCTCTCCTCCTCTAAAACACGAATATCAACAACCACAACAACGAACAAACAACAACAGCACCAACTTGCATTTATACTAAGCCCTTCACGTTGTGAGGTAATGTCTCGGAACACTTCACTGAACGAAACCTTGAAGTTACATATGACCAGAGGCATTTTAAAATTCCATGAAAACCATTTTTTTTTACCCAGTGCAGAAGTGTACCATAAGGCAAAGATTCTTGGAACGTCTGATTCACTTACAACACTTTAAAGTTGAACTTTTTTCCCCTAAAATACTCTCCACTGAACTCTCAGGTTCAAACAACCCGAGATGTTGAATTCGAGAGACAAAATAATGAAGAGATTGAAATTTTCAATGTTCTTTTTTTCAATTCATCCGTCATCGAATGAAGTGGTTCATTTTCCCATCTGGTACAGGTCTGCTCATCTCAACCACAGAATAATAATAATAATAATAATAATGATTTTAATATAGAGGCTTATTAAGTCGCAGAGAAATCTGAAAGCGCTTCACAGGATATATTGTAAAATGGATTGACTTTGCAATATATCTTGAATAGTGGCTGTCATCCCAAAATCTTTTAAACGGTAACTCATTGGATCCATTTTTTTTCTCCGGCTGGAGTGCGCGTGTGTGGGTGTGTGTGTATAAAATGTGTTTGTGCGTGTGGTGAGGAGGGGAAGAGAGAGAGAGAGATTTAATTCCTGATCCAAGAGTACTGCATGTTGCAAATCAGACAAACTGTGCCCTTTACAGCAAAGCTGCCGAGCTCATTTTCAGTCATTCCTTTTATTTCCCCCGCAACACACGCAGTCAATTCACTTTACAGTATATTCCGTGAAGCGCTTTGAGACGCCTCAACGATGTGGTAAGGCGCTGGATCAAACTCAAGATTACGATTATTATTTTAGGGGCAATTAGTTACAGTCATAGCACTGATGATAACTGCCCTCCGCAAGTTGTCATTGAGACAGAGAACCCAGAGACAGAGAGAGAGAGAGAGAGAATTGTTGCTGCATATTTGAAGGCACATTCTGCTTCTCCCCCACACTCTCTCTCTCTCTCTCTGTGCCCCACACTCACCCCCAAACCCCCTCTCTATCTCTCTCTCTCCCCCCAAACCCCCCCCCCCACCCCACATTCGCAGTTCATGCTGAAAGCTCGTCAAGAAGCTGATGTGAATCCCACAAAGCCACACATTAATTAACACACGAGCAAAACAAAATCCCTGCTGCCCTCCCCCAGTTTGCAACCTCTCTCTGATGAAAGACTGGATGCCACAGAGAGGAACGAAGTTAGCAAAAGCATAGCGATGACGAGCATCTATTCTGATATTCCTTCAGTTATTGCACAGAGAGAGAGAGAGAGAGAGAGATGGATGGATGGATAACATTGCAATATTTTTTTTTAAAAAAACAAGAAAAAAAAATCAGCCCCTCACCTCTTTATTGTAAGCCTGGAGGGCCTTTAGCACAGTGTCTTGATCGCTGGTTTCAAGTCTGTCTATGATCGTATTGAGGTCCATTTTCATGGCAGTTGCGTGTGTGTTGGATGTGGAACTCTGGAGCACAAAGATACAGATACAGATACAGACACCACACACACACACACGTCCAGCTGATGCCTTGATCTTGACAGGTCTATCTAATGTGCAGCTGTGATCTCCCAATCTCCCTCCAGCTCAGATACAGGCAGTCAGTCAGACTGGTCCACTGGCATTGAAGCTTGCAGATGACAGCATCTCAGTGGTGCTGATGGTGGTGGTTAAGGGAGGGAGGGAGAGGGGGAGAGGGAGAGGGGGTGGGGGTGTGTGTGTGAGAGAGAGAGAGAGAGAGAGAAACCACAACCATTCGAGATCTTCTGGGAATCGTAGTTCACTATTGCATCCTCTTTGTTAGGCTTTTCTGTGATTACACAGAGAGAAATCAGAAAGAAAAAGAGAAAGAGAGGAGATCTGAAATAATGGCTCTTCCAGGTTCCATCAATGTACCCTCTCCCCCCCCCCACTCCCCCCTCCCGTCCCGACAATAATATTAAGAGATAGCAGAGGAGGCGGATCTCTCAATAGGTCATATTATTTGCAAACAGCTATTTGCTGCTGCAAATAGGAACTGCTCATGGAACCAAATGCATTTGCTCCACTTGCTTCAAATTGACATCGACCTGGGAGGCTACTTGCGTTTGAGAGGCGAGCGGATTGCTTAACGTTTTACTAAATTAATCTGAGTGAATCCAGTGTTGCCGCAGGTTTAATGTTGAGTCAATTCAGAAATCACACACACACACCCTCTAAAAGAAGCTTATCGAGCATCCCCGGTTCCATCCCTCTTGAAGACTTCTCACGCCCAATTTGTTTGTGTTTCTAATCAAACTCAATGTGGAAAAACAAGTAGGTATAATAATAATGACAAAAAAATACTCTTATTATAAATGGAATGATCAATCCTTGCAGTTTATACAGCGCCCTAGTTTGTTGTTCATCCGAAGGATAGCACTTTCAACTATGCAGCACTTCCTCCAAACACTCTACTGGAGTGTCAGCCCAAACTAGGAGTTCAAAGTCCCTTGGAGTTCAACTTTGAGCTTGAACCCACAAACAACCCTCTGTCTCCTTGGCTGAAGTCAACCGAGCCAGGCGGACACCTTATGTTGTGGGGATGTGTAGCTTCAAATAATAATAATAATAATAATAATAATAATCCTTGCATTTGATATAGCGCTTTTCACGTCGAGAGGACGTCCCAAAGCGCTTCACAGAACACACTGCAAAGTGAATTGACTGTATATTTGTGGGCGAACGCGGCAGCCAATTGCGCACAACAATGTCCCACAAACAGTCGTAGATTGAAAATGACCAATTTATTATTGTTTTTTGTTTTTGGAGGGATTATTATTAGGCTCTGTGTGGAGTAAGGAAACTTGCCCAAGGTTTCGCCCTCTGCCTGGAATTGAACTCAGGTCTCTCACTTGCAAAGCGAGTGCTCTAACCACTGAGCTACAGGACTCCACAAATATTCAATGCATGCCTCATTGGGAAATTTCACTTGGACTTTAGACATTCACGACCTATGTGTTTAACTAGTTCATGATACTTGCACCTAATATGTTCGGGAATTAGGTAAGCAGGATGCGTAACCGGAGGGAGAGGGCGCACGTTCCATTTGAACAACCTCTCAGGAATTTCATGCGTCGGTGGGATCCATGGAATTCTCAGTTTGGTTAATTCTCTTAAGCACGGTGATGGGTTTCTGCATGTGTCAGACATCTGGCTAACCCCCCAAAAAATGTTTCACTCAACTATTCAACATAGCATTGGACACCTCCTAGCTGCACCTCGTTTGATTAGTGACACAGGGAGCGATGTCAATTTCTTGAAAGCACACTCGCACACTCTATGATGGAAATTTCATTTTCTTTCTTATACTGCAATAGCAAATGTACATTAATAATAATACATCAATAATAATAAATTGCCAAAATGAGGGTATATATTGGGTATTTTTTCAGCTAACACTAAGTCACCCGAATGCTAATCTTACCTTTTGGATTCACGTCATCACCTAGTGGTTGATTTAGTGCGTCATTGGATTGTAATCTACCACAGCACTGTATGTTATTTGCTTCACTGGTTTCTGAGAGGATCCCTTTCTGGATGGATATTAATAATAATTATTAGTATTATCCTGGCATCTGACATAGCACCTTAACATATTAATAATAAATCCTTGCATTTGACATAATAATAATAATCTTTGCATTTCACATAGCGCCTTATCACGTCTTCTAGACGTCTCAAAGCACTTCACAGGAATTTACTGCGTAGTGTAGTGTCTGTGTAGTTTGTAGCAAACGCGACAGGCAGTTGGCGCACAGCGAAGTCCCCCAAACAACAACAACAACAACAAGATTACATTTGTATAGCGCCTTTCACGTCGGGAGGATGTCCTAACATGTACAACATTTCAGACTCAAGCTGGAGTCAGTGGGGGGGGGGGGGGGGAGTAATGGAAGTGACATGAAGTTGACAGGGTCAATTTTATTTGGGGGAATTGTCGGCCAGAACCCAAGCAACGATCTTGGATTGTCGGCGGGGGCGCGTCCTTCAGGTGGAGACGTTAAATCGAGGACCTGTCGGACAGCTCGTGGGGACGTTTAAGATCCCAAAAGGCACGAATCAAAACCAAAAGGGAGTTGGTGGGGGCTGGAGGGATAGGGGGGGCCTGGAGGGATAGGGGGGGCCTGGAGGGATGGGGGGGGCCTGGAGGGATGGGGGGGGGGGGCTGGAGGGATAGGGGGGGCTGGGGGGATGGGGGGGCCTGGAGGGATGGGGGGGCTGGGGGGATGGGGGGGCCTGGAGGGATGGGGGGGGCCTGGAGGGATGGGGGGGGGCTGGGGGGATGGGGGGGGGCCTGGAGGGATGGGGGGGGCCTGGAGGGATGGGGGGGGCTGGGGGATGGGGGGGCCTGGAGGGATGGGGGGGCCTGGAGGGATGGGGGGGGCCTGGAGGGATGGGGGGGGCTGGGGGGATGGGGGGGGGGCCTGGAGGGATGGGGGGGCCTGGAGGGATGGGGGGGGCTGGGGGGATGGGGGGGCTGGGGGGCTGGGGGGGGCTGGGGGGATGGGGGGGGGGCCTGGAGGGATGGGGGGGGGGCTGGAGGGATGGGGGGGGGGCCTGGAGGGATGGGGGGGGCCTGGAGGGATGGGGGGGGCCTGGAGGGATGGGGGGGGGGGCTGGAGGGATGGAGGGATTGGGGGGGGGGGGCCTGGAGGGATGGGGGGGGGGCTGGAGGGATGGGGGGGGCCTGGAGGGATGGGGGGGGGGGGCTGGAGGGATGGGTGGGGGGGCTGGAGGGATGGGGGGGCTGGAGTCACAGACAAGCGTGCTGGTGGCTGGGCATTGGTTGCACGGTGCAGGGGGCGGGGCTGGAGGCACAGACAAGCGTGCTGGTGGCTGGACAGGGTTGGTTGCACGGTGCAGGGGGCGGGGCTTGAGGCTCAGACAAGCGTGCTGGTGGCTGGGCAGGGTTGGTTGCACGATACCTTGTGACGTTGGCGTTTACCCAGAATCCTCCGGCAACGGCGGCAATGGCGGAAAGGAACCGCAGTGAGTGATTGAGACCCTAAACACTGTACACACCCTATACACTGTACACACACCCTATACACTGTACACACACCCCATACACTGTACACACACCCTATACACTGTACACACACCCCCATACACTGTACACACACCCCTATACACTGTACACACACCCTATACACTGTACACACACCCCATACACTGTACACACACCCCATACACTGTACACACACCCTATACACTGTACACACACCCTATACACTGTACACAACACCACCCCATACACTGTACACACACCACCTATACACTGTACACACACCCCCTATACACTGTACACACAACCCCCTATACACTGTACACACACCCTATACACTGTACACACACCCCATACACTGTACACACACCCTATACACTGTACACACACCCCATACACTGTAACACCCCCATACACTGTACACACACCCCATACACTGTACACACACCCCATAACACAACTGTACACACACCCCATACACTGTACACACACCCCATACACTGTACACACACCCTATACACTGTACACACCCTATACACTGTACACACACCCTATACACTGTACACACACCCCATACACTGTACACACACCCCATACACTGTACACACACCCTATACACTGTACACACACACCCGATACACTGTATACACACACCCTATACACTGTACACACCCCATACACTGTACACACACCCTATACACTGTACACACACCCTATACACTGTACACACACCCTATACACTGTACACACACCCCATACACTGTACACACACCCATACACTGTACACACACCCTATACACTGTACACACACCCTATACACTGTACACACACCCTATACACTGTACACACACCCTATACACTGTACACACCCTATACACTGTACACACACCCATACACTGTACACACACCCTATACACTGTACACACACCCTATACCACTGTACACACACCCCTATACACTGTACACACACCCTATACACTGTACACCACACCAACCTATACCACTGTAACACTGTACACACACCCTATACCACTGTACACACACACCCATACACTGTACACACACCCCTATACACTGTACACACACCCCTATACACTGTACACACACCCTATACACTGTACACACACCCATACACTGTACACACACCCTATACACTGTACACACACCCTATACACTGTACACACACACCCTATACACTGTATACACACACCCAACACTGTACACACCCTAACACTGTACACACTACTGTACACACACACCCTATACACTGTACACACACCCTATACACTGTACACACACACCCTATACACTGTACACACACCCTATACACTGTATACACACACACCCTATACACTGTACACACACACCCTATACACTGTACACACACCCCTATACACTGTACACACACCTCCTATACACTGTACACACACCCATATCCACTGTACACCACCCTATACACTGACTAACACACCACACACCGATACACTGTATGACACACCCTATACACTGTAACACACCCCATGTACACCTGTACACAACACCCTATACACTGTACACACACCCTATACACTGTAACACACCCTATACACTGCATACACACCCTATACACTGTAC